TTGTAACCAAACGATGAAGAAATATATTTCCCTTTCTAATTTGACGACAACTTCCAAATCAGACCCGATAATTCCCCCTGACTGTCCTTCCTATTCATCGTTCTCTCAGAACATATTTAACGAGAATCCCGGCCCTATCATAAATTCTGTCAATCGTGGTTTCCCTCATATCAATGCAATGCATAGGTTTCCATGACGTCAATAGACCAAAGTGTAAACAACCGTTGTACAGAAATAGCAACACACAACAAAGGGGCACTCTAATCAGCGGCGATATAATGCTCGTACAGCTGCCACTTATCAGCACCCTCCACTATTATAACCTCTATTTAAAACAACAATAAAAGTGCTGGCTTCACACCTCATCAACGGCTGAGCCAAAGGTGGTGGCACGGCGACGGAAGCTTTATTGATGATTATCGCCGCCACACACAATTGCAACAACTGCAAAGCAGCGCCAACAGCAACACCTCACTTATCGTCGCCACTCTCTCATTATCGACAGCATCGACGGACTAATAAAGCAATTACAGAACACACACGCTCTCTCACACGTGCCCACTCACCCAAGTGATCGGCAGTTTGCAAGACGACACGGCGTATACGCGATCTTTGGGAACTGTTGAGCGAATCTTCTGCTTGCGTTTGGAAATATTTGCATATGCACATGCATATAAGTGGGGCAAGCAGCGATATAAATGGAATTTTTATGCTTCAAGGTCAAACCGTAAATTCATTTGTAATTCGTTGTACGCCGCTCGCTTTATCGCACTTGCGAACCAAGTCGACGTTACACCAACTCATTTGTGTGATTAGATTAACCGGGAGTCCGCGCACAACTGCGCAGCGGTGCGGGGCAGAAGCGGCAGTTGTGGTAATTTTTATTATTATTGCTTTTGGTGTTTGTGCCATTGACGTCACTCTAAGTTTGACGCTCGTTTTCTATATAATATATTGCTATGGATCAGATTGTTGTTGTTGTTGTATATAAATTGACTCCTCTTGATGGCTCTTCATATTGACGTGAATTGATTTTTGCAGAGCCGCTAATAGTGGCAGTTAGAGATTTCTCAGTTTCCGTAGTAGACTTTGGCAAATAATTATTGATATTGTTAATTTATTTTGATTAGAACGTTCATCAAAAACTTTCCGGCAGTTCATTAGTTCTGCAGTTTAAACAGCCTCGCATGCTTCAGTTAGAGAATAGAATCGAAAGCGTTTTGAAAAGAGGAGCAAAAATTAGCGCTTAACAGACTCAATAAGATCAATCCAGCTACTACTAAGCTACAGGGTTCGTCCGGATAGTAATCAGTACTGATATTCTTCCGCCGCGACTGTACTTCAGAACGTGCGCGCACCGACTGGATTCGGTAGAGCGAGTTCCTAGCTAATGAACGAGTTAGTCTGCGAGTCTGGAGAGTCAGGACAAACATTTTTGCGGGACGTGTTTCTATGAGTGGTGTTCGCTAGAGTAGAGGTACGCGATTAAAATCTGTGTGAAACTCGGTACCTAGATGTTGCTTTAGGCAATATTCCGAGTGGCACACGGCGTCTTCTCCCCCAAAAAGAGAAGAATGAACAAATCCAAAGTAAAAACGTTGCTTTTTTGACATCAAAGGCATCGTCCACCATGAATTTGTTCCTTCTAGACAAACTGTCAACCCCAAGTTTCACGTAGAGTCCTTAAGAGACTCAAACGAAGGGTCAATCGGATCCGACAAGACATCGCAGCCGATTGGAAGTTGCACTACGATAATGTCCCAACTCACGCCACAAAGGCCGGCATCTTAACGCTTTCGCAGCCGACCTACAGATCAGATGTGGCCCCGACCTTTTTTGGTTTCCTTGCCTGAAAAGACCGATGAAAGGCAAGCATTTTGAGACGACAGAGGGGATCCCAGAAACATGCACCTCGGCTCTCAAGGCTATTCCGGAGAATGCCTTCCGTGACGCCTTCAACGCTTGGAAATAGCGCTGGCAGCGCTTCATAGACGCAGAAGGAGCCAATTGGAAAGTTTTTAACGAATTGTAGCGATTAGCTGAGTAAATTTTTTTAAATGGGTTTAATTACTTTCCGGACAAACCCTGTATTAATGAATTATAGGCACATTTTACTTGATCAATTCAAGGATGAAATCTCGTGATGCCAAATCCACCCAAATCGATCACCAAACTATCCTTACATCGTATCGAACTCTCCAACATTTTTCGATAAAATAAGAATCCAGCAAATTTGTGAGATATAATTATTTACGAATGGAACTGTCAAGCAATTGGTCTGATTTTCCAATTTTTTTTCTGCGAACTGTCAGCACGTTTTCTGCAGATATGCCATCCTTCTCATTTCTTCACATATTTCGGCTCTTGTAGTGCGGTTCAGCGATGATGACGTCAATTACATTCCAATGAAAAAGACAAGACACAGCCAGACCAACGGGCTATAGCACGTAATGTTTATCTTAACAAACATTACAAACACAAATCGAAAAAAAAACCGCTTATCACAAATTATTAAATTAAAAAGAAAATAAATTTCGAAATTAACTCACAGTTAAGATCAAACACAAGTCGCGCTGAAATTCGGCGTAAAAAGTTCGCCCATACTTGTTTACCGGCTGTCAACTAGCAGATAGCCCGCTGCGGACGGGACGGCGGGCGGAGGCCAGAGTCAAATTTGCAAAATTAAAGACGTCAGCGCAGACTTAATGTGCATCGTTTAGTGACCACATATGTACATGCGTCTCGTCTTTAGTCCGTTGGCTATTGTACGCGCAAGATCTGCCATGTTGCTGAAGTATTACTTGGAACACAAAAAGAAACTGACAAAGCGTACAGGCTTATCGAGTAATCTATTGAAATGTGACACCAGCAGGCTTAGCGGTTCCACTTGTATTTATTTATTTACATTAGCGAACATTTTGTCTTCGATATCACTTACGTGAGCATTAGCAGCTTTCTCGTAATACGGCGATTTATATGGGACATGAATGCATGGACGCACTCTTTGCCCACCGTAAGCGTAGCGGCTGTCGCCATTTGTCATCCGCTGTCGAACGCGCGCATATGCCGCTGCCTTTGTGGGCGTATGTGTGTGCTGAGTATTCACATTTACGATTGCTATCGCAGTTGTCCGCCGCCACTTAGGCCGTCAGTGGGAGGTGTGTATGCTCATGCGCGTCACTCTAATTGCTGTCGAAATCTGTTGCGCAGAGCGACTGACGTCAGAGCGGCCGCAGTCGCGACGCTGCGCCCCGCCTTGGCCACGTCCCTACACCATGCATGGATTTAAGTTTTCAATGCGCATTGGCAATTTCGCAATGCTTTGGTGACGGTGAGCGTATTTAGTTGATTGCCCGGGCTCAGCAGCGAATCGTGTATCAAATATAGAAGGTGATATATGATTATCGCTAATTAAACTACGCTCATAAATATCGACATTTGATGGATTTGTTATTCAGCGATAAAAGAAATATAAATAAACGATTTACTGCTATGTCAGCGGATGTTGTGCACTGAAGTGCCTCAGGTGCGCATTTACGGCGCGGCCTGGCCATTTTTCCACCGTTTATGATCGCTGTTTTGATCGAAAAACCAATCAACCTCTATCAGCGCAGCTATCAAAAGTCACCGAGTCATAAAAGTCGCGCCGCTGTCACATAAACACGACACTTGCTTGCTGCTTTTATTAATTTCGCGTACCTTCAGCAAATTGCTCGACAAGCGAAGAACGACAAGTGTTGTAATGAGCAATGTAATTGACAATAAGTGAGGTGGATGCTAGGTTCAATAGGGGCTCAGTTTTAGTAAAAGTATAGGCAAGACGTAGCTAAGCAACATATTTGCAAAGGAAGACACGCCAAGAATCCAATACCAAAGAGTAGATATGTGCCGAATTCTCCAAGAAAAAAGTGAAAGAAAGCGCTTTAAGCGTAATATTTTCAATTTCTATCAACATAAAGTGAGCTTCGAACTCACTCAAGACAGTTGCAATAAGAATTCCACCTCCCTTCTCATTACCAAGCTCCAGCGGCACAAAACCATCATTGTTTGCCTTCCGTCTTCACACTTTCCATTTCCTCATTGAAATTAATAAACAGTTTTTGGCACCCATTATTTATTAGCTTTTTTGCAATTACTTAAAAATGCTTAATTTTTCATTTACCAAAAATGTCTTATGTTCATAATTATCAACTACTAAGATATACAATTGGAGAATACCAACATGGCAGGATGAAACAGTGCGATAAGACAATGAAACATTTCAAAAATGAGTGATGATGAAAAATATGCGGTGATAATGGTTGGGTATGACAGCAGCGCTGTGGCTGTGACAGGTTCTATACGCAGACACACACACACATACGCGCGTGTCTATTTGTACAGCCCAGTAAATATTTGCTAATTAGCAAAGGTAGCTCCATAAAGAGTTTTATGTGCATGTACCTATGTATGTATGTAAGTATGTATGTCTACTTGCACGCATACATAAGCGTCACTTTCATGAGCTGCGCCGCACGCGGTTGTCAGTGCACTAAATCATAGAGACAATATAAGTAGATAATTTAAAAAATAACTTCATATATATGTGTATATATGTATGTATGTATGTTTATATGTGTCGTAAAAGCAAGTAATAATAAAAACAAAAATGGGTTAAAATACTTCAACGATAAGATAAATTAAATTAAAGCTGCATTCCTTTCACGTCCCACCGGCCATATGACACGGTGAAATTAGACTAATGTCACTTAGACTAACGGAATAGCACACAGAATACATGCACAATTTCCATTGCTTATGCGCGTAATCACACTCATACCGAGCCTACACAAGTGCTTATAAAATTTACAGTTAATCACTAAATCTTAATAATGTTACAACAGTTCTTTGGGAAAAATAGTTTAGAATACTTTAGGTTTGTTGAGATTTTGTTTGGGCGTGCGGCTTCAGTAGGGCGCCTTTTCACCCACGTTCGCGCCCATCGGCACCGCCAAACCTACCTTCTTAGCTGCTGGCTTCGTGCTCAGGTGCTGTGCGGCCAGTAGGTCGGACAGGTCTTTGCCTGTTTGTTGTTGTGGATCTTCGGGAATGGTGAATGACTCCTCGTCAGCGCTGGCTGAGTATGTCGAACAATCGCTTGTTTTACGTTCTAAAGAGGTACGTACACCGTTCACGTAGCACTCTGCGCCGTCTAATGCGGATATCGTTGAGCCGCAGTAGTATAGGTTGCTGCAGGAGGAGGAGGCGCTCACATCCGATTCGCCTTCACCTTCGTTGGCAGTGTCCAGTGAGGAATGTCGTCGTCGCATGCGCTGTGCGCGAAAGTATTCTATTTCTTCGAGTGTTATACCGCACATGATTTCATCGGAATAATCCGACACAACTACAGAAGGAGTGCGTACAAATCGTCTACCGCCCGGAAACTCAGTGGGTGCAGTATCACTACCGCAACTCTGTGCTGACTCGCGACGCGAACATGGCTGTGATGGCGCTAAAGAACGCGGATCCTCCGGTAGCTCTACAACGCGTTCCTCCAACAACACCTTGCTGGGCACCGTAGCTGGGGCTGGTGGATTGCTGATAGTTGGTGGTAGCTCGGTGATCGTTGTGTCTGGCAGTGCAGTGGGTTCTGCTAGCGGTAAAAGTGCCGGTCGCAGTGGCAAATCCGTAACGGTGAGTGTCATTCTTCGCTGTTGTGTTCCGACCGGTGGCTGTGCGGGTGTTGTATCCATTGACTCATCAACGTCCAAACCTAATGCCGAATCACTGCTGGCAGAGCGTGCCACTTTATCCTTACGCTTTGTTTGGCCAACTGCGGAAGTGGTCTGCGCCGATTCGTTGTCCTCATTGTCAGATGAGTAAGGACTCTGTCCAAGGTTGCAACCCTCGTCCGATAATGGACTGTTGCGCTGCTCCAATCGCTCTGGCTTCAAGGACAACATATTGCTATCGCCTGTCTCGCTGGTTTTGTTCGGATTCACAATCATTTTCCTAGCGGAACACGTTGAGTGACTTTCGAATCTTTGTACTAATTCTTCAACACGTGGAAATGTACTGATTGTATGAATCAAGGATTGATGGGTGTGTGCTACAGGGTAAGATGTCCTTGTCTTATTTTGTTTTTCAATTTTTTTCTTTAAATCTAATTTGCGCCTCGCCACTAAAGATGTGGATGAATAGGTTTCCGCCGCGTTCACGGCTATCGTTGGTACTCCAATGTGTGGACTAAGTTCTTTGCTATACCGTGTACTAACTGCGTCCAACTGTGATTGTCGCGATATCCCACAATCATCAATTAGTGTCGAGGGTTGTGTTAAACGTTTGACTGCTTGCTCTTGCGATTCGAAATCTCTGAAAAATTCCGATTTCAGTTTGGCCTTTCGCGCTGCCAAAGTCAGTGCCCTTATTATATCCTTGCTATTGTTGTTGGTGCTTGTGTCTGCGCGTGCTCTTGTCTCACAAGCAGGATCATACTCCGAGTTGACTAAATCGACAACTCCTGGCCACTTGTTGCGCGCTACGTATACTTCACTTGTTCTGTCGATGTATTCGCTTAGGGTGATGTTGTTACTGTTAAGCGCACACCGCTTTGGTTCTGATATCGTAGTGCTCGCTTCAAGTTTTCTCTGATTACTAACATTCGTTAGCACAGCCAACGGACATTTATTTTCAGTGAATTTGGATTTCGCATCTACCGCCAATAACACCCCTTCCACCTGTTTGCCTCCCATTCTCAACGGCGACGTCAAACGAGCCGCCGATTGTACTCGTCGTGTAGCAGACGAATGCGCCCCTTCCGGAGACCTCGTCACTGCTACTACCGGCGTTTGCTCATTCGCCGTTGTTGTAGTCGCCGCCGTCACCGCATGTGTCATTGTAGTAGTGCTCGCTTTGCTCTTTTTTCCCTTCGTTAATTGGCTTGCCCCTAACAGCGCGGACGTCGCGCGCGGTTTTATCGTTGGTGTACGTGAACGCGACAGTTGCGCAACTGTCAATGCCGCCGTGTGCGTTTTTGTTGTGGCTATTTTTGTATCCGTTGTTTCCTCCGTTTTATTGGCATCTATTGACTCTCTTGTGGCTTGAATAGCACTTAGTATGAGCGCCGAGTGTGAAGAAAACTCACCGTCAACAATGTCAGTCCAGCCGAGCATGTCATCCGCGATCACTGCTCCGCACGCATCATCTGCCTTTTCGTCAACTAGTTCACAATGTTCATTCAAGGGGATGGAATGCAACGAGGCTGGTGGAATGTGCACGGAAGTAAGTGCTTCGGTCGCCACACAATGGACCGAAGACTGGGATGTGCTACCGACAAATGTGGCTGTCGTTTGAGAATCAACGCTGGTTTTTGCAGCAACGCTCATACGTACGGATCTCTGAGGTACTCGCACGTTTTTCTTGCAAATATCAGCGTTTGAGGCTGTTGTTGTGGCAGTTGGGTTAGTTGAAGTCGTTCCGGTGCTCCGCCGACTGATGTAGCCGCCCATTCTTCGCGCCAACACTGGTTGACATTTAATATTTAGTTTTTCAGCCACTTGCTTACGCTTATCGCTGATATTACTTTTTTTGTTTATCGGTAATTTGCTCATTATTTCTCATTGGGTGCGTACGCACTCAGCAGCACCTTTTTCTTTTGATCTCTTCTCTACGTATAGTTTTCAAGCGTTCTTGCAGTCGACATACACGGTTGCAATTCGCATTGGCTGCACAACGCCAAATGACGTCAAGACAAAAGACTACATGACGCAAATATCAGCGATTAGCTGTGACCAAGCCATGTTAGCGTTGTTTTTGTTCTTCGGTGCGCGCTTGTTATTGTTTTTTTTTGCTGTTAATAATGGGCATTTTCGCAGCCGCGAAGCCTCTGACGCAGAAAAGACCATCGACCGCAGCTAGTAAACGCTGCTGACGCACGCCAGCCCCCAGACAATCAGACGCTTACCGCGCGGTGATCGATAGTGTATGCTGAGGTTTGAGAAACTTTCAAAGTTTACCCGCTCGTTGTCTTCTCACATTCACCCTCGGGCACTTTGAACTGACACTTAATTAAAAGCCTTTTTCGGTATAAGCGATAATTTTTTGCAAATTAGCATGAAATCGCCGTGACGCTGAACGGAGTGCTATGAGTAGTACGTTGCGCCAGATCTATGATGCACGTTGACACGAAACTTATATTACGTTCGCACGCTGACGCTGAGAATGAGTAATTCGCGTAGATCAATTCGATTTATAAACACTTCTTGGAACGCGAACTATGCACTTGTGGTTTGCGGTGTGGCGTGCGTCACTTGGCAGCCTCTCATACACTCATATGCGACAGCAACACCTGTTAATCTTGATGAAACCACAGGCGCATGAAATAGCGCACACAGATTTATACACGCTTATGTTTATGAACGCATCAGTTCAGTCTATCGCGTCGTTCGCTGCACTAATCGCGTCAATATCGCGCCTCGCGAGTGGCTGATCTCACCGCGCACAGGAGCTGTATTCACAAACGCCTCTCCAGCCGTTTGACGCGCGCGTATACCGACAATCTCACTATCGCGCTTTGTACGACGCGATCGCGTTTTAATTTTCAGCACATTTTTTACTCCCCTCCCCTGCAACAACCACCGCGTTTTCATTAGATGTAGACACGAGCAGCACCTGCAAATAGAAAAGAAAATGGCAATAGCGATTAGGAAGTAGGGAATAGGTGCGGCCTGTTTGGGTTGCGTCGCCACAACCATTCAAATTGAGGATCGTAAATTCATAAAAATATTAAAAACCACAATTTACCTAATTCTTCATTAGCGCTTGCCTATGACTTGCATTCAGCAGCTTTTGTCTAAAGCCAATGTCATTGTTGTTCAGTGTGAGCTTTATCGTGCTCACTATCTAACGGCAATTATGAGCTTTCCCTGCTACGCTTTAGTATTGTAATCTATCTTTATCGCCTGATTATTTTTGTTGTATGTTTTGGTTTTTCCTTTATTTTTTACAATCCATCCTGCTGACGCAAATCGTATTTTTCGTATTTCGGCTCTTTTTTCATTCATTCACAACTCAAATTATCCGGTTACTTTTATTGCTTTTGTTATACTGTTAGGCATTTATATTAGATAATTGTTTTTGTTCCGAACTTATGTATATGCACGTGAATATGCTGTAGTTCCGCGCGTTTGGATGTCATATATCAACTTTACCTCAACACCAAAGCCAATCGTGGAAATAAAGTCTCATTATGGCCGTCTGCAGATCAACATCCACAGCCGCGCAAGATTCATAGTGCCGCCGTAAATTTGTTGACTCATGATAATATAACTGATAAAATTTAGACTGCGGGCTTATGTTGTCAACCAATCGCAAACATGGCATGTATTATTAGCTCCCGAATAATCTTTGATAATTTCGCCATAATGAGATTTTATGTGGTTAAAATCCGAATGCTTAAGGCTTCGGATAATTTTTTTTTTGCATCTGACTTCATCACTTTACGACATGGAAATTTTCTTGTTTATCCGCTATTTACGGAGTGCCTGAGGTACCATTAAATCTCATAACATGCAAAATCATTCATTAAATTAAGAAAGATAAGTTACTGTCGCCTTAGAAAGATATAGTATGGAGGTAAAGAAATATAATTTCGATATAAGTTTGAGACGGAGGTAACTCCCGGCTACCCAAGATCACCTAGGTCTTCAGCTTCGAGGAATAGTTTTTTTTCTTGACCTCAAACTAGGCTCTCATCGCATCACCGTGAGTGCACCTTAACGACACAACTCAGCTGCTTACAGCTTTGAAAAAGGAGCGAAAGAAGTTGGTCTTGTGGTGAGCGAAAGCGAGACAAAGTCATTGGAAACCACATGCAAAAATTCCTTGCTTCTCGGGAACTACGTCACTGTTGGCAAAAATACATTTAAAAACTTAAGAGTTTTTAGCTCTTGTCAACAGGTGCTACTATCGGTTCAGTAGGCACGTAGTAGATCACTCTCTCAAGAACTGTTCAAGCAAGGGCGCGCACGCATCCAATGGAAGGTCTAAGTGCATAGCGATTTGTCCGCACTTGATATATACAACTGGCATTACCTCACAAAGGATAGAGGCAACTGCTGAAGTTTTTTGTTATCGAGCCAGCGCGACCCACGCTAGAAATACCGAAGAGGAATAATTATTAGGAAGAATAAAGATAAAGTTAAAATCCACCCACGCGCCAAATACGCATTTGGAAGAACTCAACTGCTCACTCCGGTAGGTATAAGATATGGCAGTGCCCTCTGATAACCTCTTGGTCTACAAATATTTCTTATATTCTGAATATCGTTGAGGGAGATGATGTCATGCGGTAAGTATGCATGTAAAAATGTAAAATTTGTGTCATTATTAACCGGAACGTTAATTGATGACATTCATTTCATTTCGCGCAATTTAATTGCAAAACCGATTGCATTTTGTGTACGTACAAATATTTTTAATAACCAATCAATTAAATTCTACGCAAAATACAAATGGCGAAGTAATTATAAACGATTTCCTTCTCTTTTTATTTTGTATGTGTGTGTGTTTTTATTGACTTGTTAAGGTGAAAGTGAATTAGCCGCTAAGCTGATTTACAGGTTTACCTTGCGGCTGACCCACTGCCACCAACAAAGCTGCCTCGCGTTCAAGCAATAAAGCTCCCTCGATGAGTAGTTGCATTAAAATTTCATTACTTTTGTAAGTTTTACTGTTGACGCAGCGAAAAGTGCGAATAATGCGTAATTGATGCATTGACAGTTCACGGAATTAACAACGCAATTTTCGCAACAGCTGTCACTTTGAATATTTATCACGGATTTTACATACGCCAGTGGGACACGGCTGGTTTAATAAACCTTCGAATGTTCCGCCTAGCGAAATGCATGGAGAAAAATAAATGTCAAGACCTCGTCAAGCTGTCAAGAATAAAACAGGGCACATTGACTTGCGATCATATCGTCGTACGTAAGCCGCCCGCACAATGCTGATCCTGATCGGATACTAGTAACAGATTGGTCAAAACTGCTCTAATCACTACACGTAGGTCTCATACACGAATATTTATGATTATCATTGGCCGCAATACCCCCGCCGTTAGTTCAACTTTCTCCAGACTGGATAAGGAAGCAAAGAAAATGGGTCGGGCAATGAACAAGTTCAAGAGGACATATCTCCTGTATATAGACTCCCACGTCACTTTTGACAAACATCACTTAGAGTTGTAAATAATTTCGTCTATCTTAGAACCACTATTAACACCGACAACAATGTCAGAAATGTCTACGCAATAACTCATTGCCAACTTTAGACTGTTAACTGACAATTGAAAAGTAAAGCCCTCTCTCGACGAACAAAACCCGAACTCTATAAGTAACTCATTATTTCCGTCCTGCCAGAGCATGACGATGACAGTCGACGTTACGAGTTTTCGAAAGAAAAGTTCATGATCCTTTGCGCGTTGGTTTCAATGGAACGATGAGCTGACATAGTTCAGCGAATTAAGAGACAGCGACTGAGCTGGCTAGGTTACGTCGAACGTATGGACTCCAGCTCTGAAAGTATTCGACTCAAGACCCGCCGGGGGAAGCAGAGGAAGAGGAAACCTCCACTCCGTTGGAAAGACCAGGTGGCTGTACTTGGAATCTCCAATTGGCATCACGTTGCTAACTCGGCTATAATCGCGAAAGCGGTTTCTACGCCAGTAAACAAGAAGAAGAATAACATTCTCTAAAATGCAGCTTTTGAAATTTGGTTAAATTGGTTTGCGGTTACGTCAGATCATTTGTCGGTTAAAAATATTTTTCCTACAAAAGCTAACTGACTCTCAAACAGCTCTCGTACGTTTGGCAACTGACGGCATATTTTTGAAGTGAGATACTAATGCTTACGAAAGCAATATTTTTTTCAGCAAAGTTCAACGATAACTTTTAAATGGGCACGTAGGCACAGGAAGACGTCTTACGAAGAATTTTTATCAATAAGATAAAATTCTTATCAATAGTGTATGTTTCCTCTCTGGGTATATGTATGTATATGTATAGTAGGCGCGTACAAGCACATAATAACCTCGTAGTAGGGGAAATCCGTTCGGCCACAGGGTGGAGCTTTTGAATGCGTAAAAATACTATTTATTATTTATTTGTGGGTTTATCTTTTATTTGCTGATATTTATCTTTTTATTATTATATGCACTTATTTAACTTTCATGCCATAAATCAGCAGTGTAGATGAGTCTTGGGACTCGGTAATGCAAAATGCCTGTAGTAATCGTCCGACTACAGCAGAAATACGCAAGCGTCAACAGGCTTTAGTTGAAATCTATCATTTTTTCGCAAGTGAGTGTGTTAAGTATGTGTGCGGTTTATTGCGAAAAATTCCGAATTATTACTCATGATAAGTTTTCCGAGGAAATGAATATGGAGATCATGTGCAATTAAGTTTACGACTACCTATTTGTATAATTAAACGCATCACCCAAGCAAAAAGCCGAAAATAATTATAAAAAATTCATATAAAATGATGAAATATGCGATATAATCAGTCGTACTCAAGTGTCGCCAGAGATAATAATAATTAATTATTATGAGTAAATTAGCCAGTTGTGGCTCGGGGTAATGTGGATGCGCCTTATGAACGCAGCAATCATCGCGTACGCTTACAGGTTGGTTTTTGCCGCTAAGAGTAGCTGTAAAAATCAGGTATGCGTATATAATCCTTGCGATTTCGGGGTCCCTGCGTAGTTCTTTACAAAATTTAGCAATTTTTAGCTGAGTATATTGCAACAAAACTGTGCAACTTGCGAAATATCGTCAAAAGGCCCTCGAGCGATGGTTGCAATTCGTTTCCTATGAAAAACTTTGCAATCGCATAGAAGATGGTTTATAATCTGCTCTTCTTCTACCTGCGGACAATTTCCACAATAGCAATGGTGCGACATTCCTAATCTGCTGGCATGTCTGCCAATTAGATAGTGACCTGCTAGCACTCCTATCAGAATTCTTATGTCATTTATTTTGAATCTATTAGGTTGTCAAAAAGTCTTGCGGTATTTTCGCTAGTTGGCGCTGAGAGCGCGTAGTTCTAGTTTTATTCGTCGCGCCGGGTCATGCTATACCTTTTTGGAAAGCTCATTTCACGCGCTAACATGTGTTTGAGTGATTGTCGTTTCTCTTAAGTCGTTCGTGAGTTATAGCGTCGCAAACATGGAGCAAAATAAAGAGAAAATACGGCACATTTTACAGTACTACTACGATAAAGGCAAAAATTCATCTCAAACCGCGAATAAAATTTGTGCAGTTTGTGGACCCGATACAGTTTCCATTTCCACCGCACAACGATGGTTTCAACGTTTTCGTTCTGGAGTAGTGGTGGTCGGAAATGCGCCACGCTCCGGAAGGCCTGTCGTCGAAAATTGCGATAAAATCACTGAATTGGCCGAAAGAGACCGGCATAGTAACAGCCGTAGCATGGGTCAAGAGCTGGGCATGAGTAATCAAAAACAATTTTATGAACAATTGAAAATTCAATAAAAGTACCGCAAAAATACCGCAAGACTTTTTTGACAAACTAATATATAAATAGATTCCTCGTTGTGAGCACACTCTTTGTGAGCACAAGAAGGCTTTCTTTAATTTCTGTTATCTGCACTTGGAATAGACGGAAGGTCCCGATTAACAAGTTTGGACACTTCCCTACAGAATGTAGATTTATTCCTGCGTTTCTTCCAACCCGCGCTCATTTCTGGAAGGGAATGCAATATTGGAGACCGAATTTAAGTTCAATTCTAATTGTCTTCGGCACTGAGATTAGCACAATTACTTCTATTATTTCAACGAGAATCATGAAGTTTCGTTCAACAATATGAGTTTTTGTTTGTTAGAATATAAGAGCATATGTCGGCGAGTACCCAACACATATGTATGTACTTATATATTTGCATATACATATGTACATAGACAAGTAAGAGTGAGAGAGTGTAGAGTTTTCATACGTTTTAGAAATACGTTAATGAAACAATGAGAGACACAGGTTAAACACTATGAAACGTATGCAAAGCGAGTAACGCACATCAGCGCTTTTTATGTAGTCGGGTTGGCCAAGACGCACATGTCTGCAGCACAGTCACTTATTTCACTAGTTTGCTATACTTCGTGCATTTCAAACAATCACTAAGTACAACTTAGACCGACGTCATTAAGATCCCCGAAATAGATCAAAAACTACCCGCCGTTAGGTAGGCTTATGAAGATTCGTACTCTACATAAATTTGAAAGCAATAAGTTACATATAACACACAAGATTTGTGAAAATATTATCAAAATTATATATCTTAGAATTATATTAAATTATATTATCTTAGAATGGCGGTCGGCTGTTGCACCTAAAAAATCCGTATGTATGTATATCATAAGACCCTTAGATCTACACAGCGCTTTGAGCTTTTACAAATTTGTTGAAACAGCCAATATCAGTTTCGGTATTGGTTCGCCAAGAGTAATATTACCGGGATATTTCAACCTCAGTCTTGCAAAGGCTATACAAAGAAGAAGAAGTGCCTGGATTTTTCCATCTCACCCCCTTCATACAACTTTCACAGCAAGTAACCGACAAGACTTTAAGACATATCATTAGGCCGCATTTTGCTTACGGAAAGTAATTCAGTACATCTCTTGCATCCTAGCACTGGACCAATGGGCCGAGATTCAACTTGGTCCCATTCTGATGTTAACGGGGCAAGGGTGCTACTCTGAACAGAAACTTTTTGATTAGCTTTGAGCGCACATTTCACGAACACAGCGCTGTTATTGCCGCTCTGCTGTCGTAGCGAATGATTGACAGAGAGCTCCTTACAGAAAAGTTTCCCTCCAACCTTCCTCATAGGGGAAAAAGCTCACTGCGTCTTTTTGTTAGCGACTTCTCCCAGTTGCAGTTGAAGGAGGGAGGATAGACTTTCGATGTGCCGTTGTTCATGCCCCTTAAAATTCAGAGTTCAGTTGGCAAGTATATGTAAGAATTAGGATATTAATATAGATACATAAAACCTTTGGACTATGAGAGATAAGACGAATCCTTGGACGGATAAAAATCCAGGTCCGCCACAACAAATATAAAAAATAAATTCAAGTCACCTACTGAGCTTCATTATGAAAAGACTTTCAATTAAGTAATTAGCTAGCGAAATGTCAACAAATTTAAATAAAGGCCCCAAGCATAGTAAAACAAAGTCCAATCTTTGTACGTTTAACCGCAAATACTTTCACTATATATGTAGATGTGACATTTGTATGCTAATGAAATGTGTGTCGGTTTAATTATGACAAAAAAACATACATACATACATAAACTGAAAACGACAACAAAAATATTGCTTGTAGGCATATTTGTTTTTGTTATTATTTTCGATTAAACGTATGTATGTATGCATGCATGTAATTGCTTACCTGTTCAGTCGGCACATATACTTCTAGTTTTGACGAGGTTAAAACCAATTGGAGTTTGCGGTGTGTAAGCGACACTCTGCGCTTATATTTTTAAAGTATTATCGTGTGTACACATACACATATATACATCTACATATGTATATTCACTAATATTAGATATGTACATATGCTACCGCAGTGGTCGAGTTTGTTTTCGCTAAAATATTTCATTTAATTTTTACATTTTAATTTCAGCCACCAAAAAAAATAGCGTAAACCGCGTCTGCGATGATAACACATAATAATAACACTACAGCTACCGCTCATTCGACGCATTGGCACGACACTCGACCCGACACGATACTTTCATAGAACAATACAACGCTGGTATGAGTCGATCAGTGATCGTCCGAATTCATTATGGCATTCTTGGCATCGCCTCAGCGGCGAGAACTTAGCCTGGCGAAAACTAATAGTACAACACTTAACAGCTTTAGGTGCAATAAGAAGGCTCAACTATCCAGTAGCAACAGTAATAAGAGCGCTTATTTACTGCACGAAGGTAAGCGCTGACGTAACGGAAGAGAGCACACCGCGCTTTCGACCGAGCGATTGTAACGGAAGAGAGCGCGCGCGCATGCGCACACAGATAAGTAGTTTTCGTTGTTAATAGATGATCTTCAATTTGCTATTGATACGCACTTACATATTCACATATGTGTGTATGTACATATATGTATATGCATTTAAGGAGGCATGCACGTTTGTATACTAGTAATATGCTTTTTCTACTACTATTGTGGTTGTCTCATTAACTGCTAGCAAATGAATCTTGATTACTTTTGCTGTTGTTGTTGTTGTAGTGTTGGTAGCAATTGTTGTGGTTTCTCTAAATTTTTAAATTTCTTTTCACACTACCATTCACACTAGTACTCGTATATTTTTAATTTGATTGGCATTTGCGGCTGAACTAATTATTACTATTAAATTTTTGCTGTTATTGCTAATTGGAGCGTGGTGTTTGTAATGCGAGAGGGCACACGAACACTCGGATTACACAAAATTGCCTGGATTTCTAATTGCTTATGTGCATATCCGTGAGTCAATCCATGTTCAAGCTTTCAAGCATATGTATGTATGTGTGCCTGTTAGATTATGGAAATGCTGTCAACACTATTGTTGCTGTATGTTCATTTCACAACACGCTGCGCCTAATCCCTTTAAATGTGATCGTAACCTAATACAGATAGGGCGTAGGAAAACAGCAACAATTACAATTAGTGCAGCTGTTGACAGCGAATTTCACTTCGAAGCTCGCACTAGGCCGAGGTTAGTAACTCCGCGGCTTTGACTGCTCTGCGCTTATTTGTGGTGCTTTTGAGTTTTCACTTCATGTTGCGCTGGTTCGCAATATCAAGAACATAAAGTTTTGAAAATATTGTTTGGGTTAACGTGACGGCAGCACCAAAGCAGCAGCTCCACAGGGATAACACACGCGCACAGAAGGTGATCGAACGAGCGCTGCCGTTTTGCATACATTGCTATATACATATACATACGTGCAAGCATATTTATCATTTAACGGGTTTAACGAGTAAATTAACACAACGCGCAGGCTTTACAGCTGATTTCAATGAAATTATATTTTTTCATACATCAAATAAACATATGTATGTACATCGTATATGCCAGTGCTTAAAATCTCCGTATACATTGTTATCGCCGCATTCACATACGCTTAATATTTGTTTCCTCTTTTTAAGTAAAAACATAGTACAGCGACTTCAATTTTCTGTAATTTCGTAAACCGCCAAACTTTCAATGCTCCCTTGAGCGACATTAATGAAAGCAACAAATAAGCACTCCCACGCAATTGTTGTGTTAAGCAGTAGCGTCACCGCGTTACGTCAAAAAGCAAAGATTTATTTGAATAGTCAATGAATTGTATTTAACTTAATTTTACGACACTTGTTTATACAATATTTTGTATGGACCAGAGCTGTGATGCTTCCCCCACTTGTCAAAAACAAACATAATTGTCAAAATTGCTATATATGTTATGTATGTATGTATGTATGCAATTTGACAATTTAGTGAGTGGCAAAATCGAATTAAACTTAAGTATATGCACAATCACAAATTGGTGGCCGTCCAATATGTAATGTTTGTTATTATGAACGGCAGCAACAATTACCCAAAACAATGCGTACAACAACTACGGCTACAGCAGCATCTACAACAACACTTAACAATAACCTTTATATAATATATCTCATAAAAGACACAAGTAACATTTAGCGGCATCTACTTTTGTTTTTATATTCTTATTCGCAAGTTACTGCTTTAAGTTTTAATTTCATTGCATTTTAGGATATTTTACAACAAACAAATCACATTCCGTTCAATTGCACACGCTTAATTCGTAAAATGGAAACACCCGACAACAACAGCTTTCGACACGACACATTCTATTTCGTTGTTCGCGCTCAACTGGCCCCAACTGGGCTCCAACCAATGCTGCTGTTGTTGCTTCACACAAATACATACATACATTTGCATGCGAGCAGCAAGGTTGTTTTACACCGTGGAAAATCGGGCTAACTTATAACCATTGTTTTAACCACATCAACTAGAGTACTAATAAATTGTTCCTTACACTTATGTAAAAAATATATGTAGTAATTTATATACCTATCACACTTAATAGAAATACAAATTACATACAAAAAATCGAATATTTACTTTTTTACTTTTGTAAATGCCAACAAATGTATAGGCACAAAATAGCAGAAAGTCCATTAATGCAACTGGAAATTGTAAAATATGCCAGCAGATGTCGCTGCTATTTTCGGGTTGCCAATTACTTCAAGGCTGCGAATTGTTTTCACGATTTCATTATCATTTCAACAATTAATTTAAACTAATTATTATTTTCTTAACAAGTTTTATTTTGCCTATCATTTTACATAAAACAAACGATAAATTGAATGTTACCGAACTGTGCCTTAATAATTTTTAATTAATCATGCGTATTAGATATGTGGCAATACCCAAACTTGTCAAATAATTTCACAAAAACGAAGGAGTTGGAAACGAACAGAATAAAAATCTTCATTTTGAGATTTGTGTAATTGTTTCCAAAAGATTTGCACATAATTTTCATAACGAAGTTGATTAAAATTTTGCAATTAATAAGAGTTTATCATTTAATATATTGTTGAGAAATAAGAGTTGAAAACAGATCGAAATGCCAAAACGTGGTGGTCGTGCTAATATGAACGGACCTAGTGGTTCACGTTTCGTAGCATTTAATGATTTGGACGGTAAGTTTGTGAAATAATGTGCTAAATTTTTTATATCATTTTTACTCCTTTCTTAAGATCGAGATGATCGCGATCGTGACCGTGAACGTGATAACACACGGAAAGATCGCAATACACGTCGGGTTAGCTTCAAACCATCATTACTGCAATATTCAGGTGGTATTAAGAGGAGAATGGCTGAGATAGCCATACGTTCACACTTAGAAGATGATGAAGATATGGGTGATATGCCAGGAACTTCCAAGGTACATAATAATTTGAAAAAAGAAATTTTGTGGTCAAATTTTAAATCCTTTTACTTGAACAGCCGGATAACACACGCCGTAAAGGTTCACCCATACCTCGAAAAAAGTTTGGAAATACAATGCATTTATCAAAGTCTCCATTTGGCTGGTATCAAATTTGGGTAAGTTGAAACAAATTTTTATACAATTAAGGAAAATAAGTTTAGTATTTCTGTAGTATTATGCCTTAGATCTATTTGTCTTTCTATTTGCCTACACTAAAACTTTAATTAATAAAACATGGCTGTAAAGTTTGACTTCTTTTATTATTATACTCTTTATTATATATATATTACTATATATTAAACAAGAGCTGAAACACAGTTCCTCTCTTTGTTCGAAATAGTTAAAGAGAGAAATTTAAGTTTAGCATGAAGCTATTTTTTTGTATTATGAGTACCAGTAAAAGCTCGTAGCAATCAATGCTGGTCTGATAAATAGCATAACCTGACAACCATTCACATCTCGAAACTACCACAGCCACCAAAGGGAGTTTCCTTAACCTCGTACGCTGATGATTGCACGATATTGACGTCGGGCAATGGAATGGATGGCATGTGTTCTAAGGTAAACGGAACTTAACTCTTTCCCCCACCAAATTCAAAGCAACTATATTTACCAACTGGACGAAAAGTACAGACTTGACCTTACTAACTTTTGGTAGAGTATGCTCCTTCACTCATACGATCGCGATTATCGCCAAGAAACGTTGTTGGCAATTTACAAGGCAATCGGCTGGTCGGTCCTCAACTACGCAGCACTAATATGGATGCAGTGGATCGCAGATGAAGAAGCTTCAGACTTGTCAGAACACTGCACTCCCATTACGACAGGATGCCTCCTGATGTCTCTCATTGAACACCTACATAGTGACATAATCGCAGTAAGGAAGCATAATGAACTCCTCTCCAGGCAGTTCCTGCTGGGATATTTTCGCAGAAATCACCCCTGCAGTCACCTGCTTGAAGTGAAACGCCTCCTAAGGACATCAAGAGGTCTTTCCTCAATTACGTCGACGACATCGAACAATACGCCGGCCAGACTTCGGATGCAACTAACTTCCGACAAACACTGACCGACTCTCTTTCAGTGAATGACGTTCTTGGAGCCAAATCACCACCAATTGCAGACAAAATTCTAGAGTTGCCGCAAGAAACGAGAGTGAATCTAGCGCAGCTTCGTTCTTGATATTGTAGGAAGTTAAACTCCTATTTGTCAAGAATAGACCCCGATATATCCAACATATTTCTTGCATATTTTTGAGACTCCTCATGACACTGGCTACCTCTTTGCATGCCCCGCTAACCCCATTTATCTGACACCCTTTTCCATTTGGACCGACCCCGTCGAAACAGCATGTTTCTAGGGCCTCCCGTTAGATGACGTCGACCTACAACTTAGATAATCCTTGCCATTCTAACGGCGACGGAATAACCGTTAAAGCAACAACAACAACGGAATAAATATGAAACCTGGAAACCCCACCAATAAAACGGGGTC